CCTCCTCCTGTCCTCCTGTCCTCCTGTCCTCCTGTCCTCCTCTCCTCCTGTCCTCCTGTCCTCCTGTCCTCCTGTTCCCACTGGGAAGCGCTCAGGGGTGGTCAGAGAGCCACAGCCCTCCCAACAGAGCACTTCCTGCCCAGGCCGCAGGGACTGCCCTATGGTCATGTGACCCAGGCTGGGCTGTAGAAACTCAGTCCCAGACTGTGAACTGGCCATAGGGTCTCCAATGAGACCAACTGGCCAATTGCATTGGGGCCTAAATCCAGCCATTTCTGATGCAGACAAACCCTCATCTTGGTTTCCTAGCCAACAAACTTATCTGTGTGGTAGCCATGTGCACGGCTCTTCCCAGTCACCATGAAGTGCCGGGGGCCTATGATGGCGACACCCGGACCACCCCCTACCCGATTCAGAAGCACGTCCACAGGGCCTGTGGACCTGTGACCGCCAGCACCCCACCAACCCGCCCCATCCCCAGGCAGCTGCCCACTCCTGGGGACCCCATGCACGGGCATGGCAAGGGGGAGAATGTGGGAGGCAGGGGATCGGGCCAGTCCGTCATTACCTGTGCTGGACGGGAAGTGATCGGGGTCAGGGAACGGGGGTACGGGACTCCTGCGCCCCAGAAGAGGGGCACGCGGCCCAGCACTGTCCAGCCCAGGCGGCCACCCACATCATCTCAGATACCTCCCAGTCACATGCTCAGCCCCCTCCCCCCAGGCCGATGCTTCAGCAAGCTCAATCCGGGCCAGAAGTGGGGTGCTAGGGAGTTAGACATGATGGGTTATGTAAGAGGTCAGATCGCGGCCCAGGCTAGTAAGAAGGAGGAGGGGCAGTGCCGGCCCCCATCCCAGTTTTGCTGGCTCCACCAGGAAGGGCTGTCATAGGCCCCACCCTCGCCCCCCCATGACCCGGGTTTCCTGGCAGGGGAAGGGGGCTCACCCGGCCCCCGGCCTTGGGAAAGCTGGGGAGGCCACGTGTTCTTTTGGGGTGGGGATGGATGTGTGGCCCAGGCTGGCTGGAGCTGGTGACCCTCTGGCCTCAGCCTCCCAAGTACAGAGACCACAGGCCTGTGCCACGAGGCACGCCAGCCCCACGGAGCCGTGGGTCGGAGGGGGCTGCAGAATGGCCGAGCCGGGACCTGAGAGCAGTTCTTTGCTCACTGTTTGGCGCTTTGCTGGGAACGGAAGCTGCCCACCCGGCCTGGGTGCGTGCGGCTGGGGAGAAGGGACGGGACCCCTTCCCCGAGTGGAGCCAGCAAGCCGCGCTTCGCCGGCCGTGTGCCAGGACGCGGCGCCCGGCGGAGGCCGGCGTCTTACTAGCCGGGCAGGGGAGGGGCGCAGGCACCGGGCACCGCGTGCGGGTGGCGGGCGGCGCAGGCACGTACCCATCTCAGGACAAACGTCTTCACTAAGGGTAAACCTAGTCCCCTTGCCACCGTGGACTGACCAAGGTGGGCGGGGAGGGAGGGGGAGGAGAGGAGGGGGGAGTGTGCATGGCGGGGGCGGGGGAGGCGCAGAAAGGGGACAGCGAGTGACAGGGAGGAGAACGAGAGAGAGAGAGAGAGAGAGAGAGAGAGAGAGAGGAGAGAGG